GGTAAAGTCCCAGACACAGTGGCTTGAAAATCGTGCGTGTGTGTGTGTGTGTGTGTGTGTGTGTGCCCAAAATCTTGCGAGAAGAATGGAAGAGAAAAAATTGTGGTATGGTCATCTCCTCATGGGGATATTTCCCTCTTTCTCTCTCTCTGTCCCTCTCCAGCAAACACATACACCCTTTAGCAAAAACAAAACAGAATTTAGAGAAGTATGCATAGAAATATGTTAGAAACAGACAATACATGGAAACTCCTAATACAAAACAAAGATAGTAAGCCATTCAGTAGAAACAGGAGGAGCTCTAAAACACGATCTGCACAAAATATTTTTATGACATTTTGTACATAACTGTAATTTATCTGTTTTGAGTCTCTTTATTATTCCACTGAGTATACATACCACAAATTATCTGTTATCTGTTGATGGGCATTTCACTCGTTTCAGTATTTTTTTTTTCATTTGTATACGTAATAGTGCAGTGTATGTGAAATGTAATGTGTAAAAACAGTACTGATAAGAGCATTCTTACACATGCCCTTCGGTGTACATGTGAAAATTTCTCCTGGGTAGAAATATAGAGTGGAATGGGTAGGGTGCACGAATATTCACCCTTATAAAATAATTCCAATTATTTTTTTCTCATGTGGCTAACCCAGTTTACACTCTCACTAGCAAACAACCTCCTATAAATCTATATCCTCTCACATACTTGGTATAAATGGTGTATAGTATTTTTTAAAAGAATTATTTATTTAAGTTTATGTGTCATTGATTATTATTGTTAGTTAATTTGCTATAAGCCACATGTGCTCACAAGACAGAGAGAGAGAGAGAGAGAGAGGGAAAATGAGAAAGCAAGCTGCCAGGTCTGGGAGTTGAACCGTGGTCTACCATACGGGAGTCCAGTGCCTTAACCCCCATACTACCTGCAGACCCCATAAATGATATATCATCTTAATATGTTTTTCCTGGTCACTAATAAAGGTGAATGTCTTTTCATATGTCAATGAACAGATGAATTATAGCTGCATACAACAATACGGTTAGATCTTAACAGTCTACTATTAAGAAAGAAAGAAAAATAAATCCTACAAAAGTAGACTTACACCATTTTTATAACTTAAAAAAAAAAGTATATCTTGTAGTGATGTATCAAACTATGCTAAGAAATCAAGGCCCAGTCACAGTGTACAGGTACTAGAGTTACTCTGCGTGCTGGAGGTACATGGAAGACTGTGTTTCAAATCCTAGGTCCAACTGAAACGTACCAGGTGTGTGTACACAGTCCCTGTCACAGCTGGCCGGAAGGCAGTTGGAGAGATTGCAATATGATAAGACCCTGTAAAGGGTGCTTGTTTCTCTTTTTTTCTCTGTCTCTCTCAAGACATAAAATAAATCAATTTTAAGAAAAAAATAGAAAAAAAGTAAAGGAAATAAGAAACAAGATTTAGGGTAACAGGAGTCCTGAAGATAGGAGGAAGAAGAAGCATATAGGCAAATATTGTCAAAGTTCTAGTCCTCATGTTGAATGGTGAGTTAGTTCATGGATGTATAAATAAGAAAACAAAAATGAAAACATTGAAGTAATACAAAAAGGGTAACAAGTTCTTTGAGCAGAAAAGTTACATAAGAACAAAGTCTATAATCTTACACATCTGTGTGTACCCACGATATCTTAGATAATCCCAAAATAGTGATTTTCTTTAAATTATGCCAATGTATTTAAAAAAAAATTATATATATATATATATATATGTATGTATCTACTGATTCCCCACTTTTTCAAACCCTGCAGTCATTTTGAAACATAGTAAGATATTCCTGACATGAAATAAGCATTTCTTGGCCAAATTTGCCAATATGGAATGTAGAAGTTACTCATTCTTATCAAGAGCCAGGAGCTCTGTCCTTATAGTTTATCATTATCCCAGAAGACAATACCTTCAAACTCTCAGCTATCTTACTTAAATTCTTCCTCAGAGGGAACTCAAGTAATATTATAAAGTAGTCTTTTGGAAGCCTACATATGGTGTTTAATAAAACGTGGAGAAATAGAAAACCTTTGAAAGAATAAATTTAGGGGAAATTTTCTGAAGTCTTATGGCTTTGATGAGTTTTACTTCCCTTTATTGCTAGCATCAAGCCATGTGAGGAAATATGGAGAATTCTGTGATCTTATGGGGAAGCTCTGAACTATTCATTTTAAAAGGCCCCTAGGGATAGAAATGAGAATGGACTGAAACTCATTGTCCCCAGCCCACCAGGTATCCAAGCTTGCATTCCCAATCATGCCTCAAGTAGCTATACAACACAGAAGTGAAAATTTGCATGTGAATATATAATTGGCCATGCAACATTTATTTTCATTGAAACTATGGCAAAGCACAGAATGCCCCCATTTTTACAACCAACTGCTCTAAAAGACAAATGACCCAGGGAAACTTTCTAAGAAGATGTTGCTTCCCAGATTTTTCCAAAATTATCCTTGAAGAAAGAGGAAGTGGTTTATTGAGACATTTATTATCAATGTGGAAACACAGAAAGCCAATTTTATTTCTCAGTAAACAATGCAGAAGGAAAGGGAAATAGTCTCTGTTACCACTAGGTATTTTGGGGAGGGAGCACCCATAGATTCAGCCTAATAGAATAAAAGCTATACGACTCCCTCAATTCTTTTGTTAACCCAAAAAAAAAAATATATATATATATATTTTTTTTTTTTGAGAGGGAGATTTTTGCAATAGGATGTGTGTGCTCACTGGAGAGATAGAGAGACAGAAAGTGAGAAATCACTCCCCAGGGGGGATGGCCACACCATACTCCCTTCTCCTTCATTCACCCCTCAGGACTTCATTCACCCCTCACGCACATGCATGCACATGTGCTTGGCATGAGTTTTAAGCCGCCTGGTCCAGGACTGGAACCACGGTTGACGATGTGGGAGTCCAGCAATGTAACCATTATGCCATCTGCTGATCTCAACGTTGAATATTTTTTACAACGAGTCATTGACTAAGTCAAATAACTTTGAGTCTTTGCATTGCACAGAGTTATATCATTGTAATAGATGCAATAATGGAATCTTACCTGTTTCTAAAATGTAAAGCATCATTAGATACTCCAAGAGAAGCCTACATCTGTGTTTATAGAGAGATGACCTATAACCAGCCATGTTTTGTTCTTCATCAGATATTTGCAGTAAAAACAAAACCTTGAATGGCCCTTATATTGACAAAAGAGCATCTCTTTGCTTTATGCCTCGTGCCTAAAGTACATGTCTGCCGTTAGCTTCGGTTACTTGTGGAAGAAAACATTATCAAAGAGGCATGCATTTTAGGAGGAATAAATACTGGTGTTTTCATGTAGTTTTAAATGGTATTGGTTGCTTTATGACAGAAAGAAACTTTTTCAGTTAGCAGAGAAGGAAACACCTGTAGATTTTTAACTCCTGGAAGTTTGTATTCCTACAAATGTACATTCATATCTTGATTCATATTTACCTGATTAGGATGATTCTTCCCCCGACCCAGAGATCTGGATTCGGTTAAGTTCTCTGCCCACGTATGGTGTTTTGTTAAGAACCATAGGACCTGAGGTGGAAGAACTCTCAGAGGTTTCCAACTTCACAATGGAAGACATCAACAACAAGAACATTAGGTACATAACTATTTTGTTTTATTTGATAGAATTTTAAAAAATTATACAAAAACAGGGTCAACAGGTGCTGTGGTGGTTAAAGTGCTGAATTCCCACATGGCCGACTGTTGTTAAAGCCCCAAGCCGGCAGCTTGAAACTCACACTGGGTGCCTGTGCATTCATGCCCAAAATCCGAAGAGGAGAATGCAGAAGAAGGGATAGTGGTATGGCCATCCCTTTTGGGGGGTGATTTCTCACTTTCCCTCTCTCTGTTTCTCTCTCTCTCCAGCAATTGCATGTACCCTATGGTGAAAACCTAGAAGAAAAGAAAATTATACTAAAACATCTAAGTAATGGGTTGTAACTCCTTGAAAGAATGTATTGCTCCTGGTCCCATTTTTATACGAAGATGCAGTCATTTGACCTGACTTGACAGCATGGGTTCATTCTTTCGATTCTTCTTTTGGCTACTGCAGGTACTCAGCTGTGTTTGACACCAATGGTCATCCAGTTACTGATCGCTTCCATTTCTCTGTCTCTGATATGGACCACAACCAGCTGGAAAATCAGATCTTCACCATCATGATCACTCCTGCTGAGAATCCACCTCCACTCATTGCTTTTGCTGACCTTATCACGGTAAACAGTTCTCTGATCAATAAACAATGAGTTCTGAAGAGAGCTGGAATCTGTGGTGATGTAAATAAAGCATTTCTGCCTAAATTCTGGCTTCTTCCAGAGTATTGAGGCAGTGGTATACAGATACGCATCGTTTCCAATCATGAGTTTTCCAAAAGCACAAAAATAATTATACATGGATCAAATCAGTGTATCCACATTATTTAGTTAATCAAATATTTATGTGCTAGACACTATGCTAGATGTCGTTAGTATTGGGAGTAAAAATAGAAATAGAATCTGGTCTTTGAGGAATTTCTAATCTCATGTTGGCAGCAATTAAAACGTAGGCATTGCTTCCAGGTCAGGCCCAAGTCAAGGGGCTTACTTATCGGTGCAAATAAAGTTGACTTTTTGTTGCGGGAAGGACACTCTGTAATGTACCCCAATCATTGGAGTTACCTAGACGTGAGTTCAAGAGCTGATTCTGTCTGTTACTTATTAGCTGAGTGACCTTGGACAATGTACTTAGTCATTCTTAGCCTCAGTTTCCTCATCTTGACAATATTGCTATTCCTAAAAGATTTCTATTCCTGCTTAAGAAAGGTTTCATTCATTCAACAAAAATTTCCTCAACATGTTCTATGTGCCAGGCACTTCTTTCAGCACTAGGGATGTATCAGCAAACAATACAGACAATTCCTATTTTTACTACATAAAGGATTTCTTTGCTGTTTAGTAAAATGGCATGGGAAACCTTTGCGTGGCACCTGGTATGTGGTAGGGATTTAACAAAAGTTCATTTTCTTTCTTCTTCCCTTTTCCATGCCAGAGACAGAATTTTTTCTGGTTTGTCGAGCAACTCACCATTTATGAAACTGAGTTGTTTCTAAGTGGTTCTGAAATGCCTCGCATTTTTCCATTTCCACACCTTAGGGAAGCCACTTAGCCAGTTAGCCAAGAGTTGTTCCGAACAAAGTGGTTTGACCATTTCCAGCTCGCTAGCAAAAATCACCAGGCAGGCAGAGTTAGCATACCAAACAGGGCCTTAAGAAGGAAAAAAAAAAAAAAAAAAAGGTACATCAGAGCACCTGCTTTTACTTGAACTGATTTATTTTCCTCCTTGACATGAAGATAAGCATTACCTTTCAGATATGGACAAACTTCTTCTTCCTACATGCCTATAAATATATAATGTAAGGGAATAAACAGGACTTTTTTTTTTTTCCCTGAATGGGAATCTATAGGACAGAGTCACCCTCACAGTGTCTAAGGGAAACTTGGATCTATCATTCTTCCACTGTGGGTTTTTGAATGTTGATGCGAATGGAAGGCAGCCATCCAGTCAGGCATCTGCGCTGAGGTGGGTGATTAGAATGGGCCAGAGATGCTTTATAACCAGATCCATCACTGAATGAAGCACAACTTTGAAGGGAGACACAAAGTCATCGTGTCGGCGTGTAGCTTTGAGAGGCGCTGAGAGATTGCCCGGCTTCTGCAGTCTGCACATTCCTCATATCGTCTGCAGAGAATCAGCCTCCTCAAAGAAGCGGGATTGGTGCCGGAAGGTCACCCCAGGCAGCACTTTTCAATTCAGTTCTTTTTTATAGCAGTTATGTGCAAGTGCCCAAGGACTGTATGTTCTTTTCTTCCTTAGGTTGACGAGGGAGGGAGAGCCCCACTCTCATTTCACCATTTCTTTGCTACTGATGATCACGACAACCTCCAGGGAGATGCCGTCATTAAACTAAGCGCTCTGCCCAAATACGGCTGCATCGAGAATACAGGAACAGGTACCAGTAGTAGCTTTGCTGTCAAATCATTCAGAACCTGGAAAGAAAGGAGGGTGGAGGGAGGATTTTGAGACCAATTTCGAGACCTGGAAATGGAAAACTAAAGCGGGATGGAACCACTTCAGGGAAGAAGACAGGTTTCATCAAAACTTGACTAAGCATGTTCTGTGTCCTAGGCACTTTTTTCAGCATGAAGGATACATCAATAAACAATACAGACAAAAGTCCTACCTTTATGGTATCTCAGATCCTGGTGGTAAGAGACAAATAAAAGAGCTAACACATGAGAAAATAATGTATGATGTTAGAAGGTAAAATAAATAAATAAATAAAAGCTATGAAGAGGACAGAGCAGTGTAAGAGGATTTGGAGTGAGTGGAGGGGCTCGTGAATTACTCTCAGAATTGCGTATCCAGTCAGAAAGAGTTCAAAACTTGACTAAGCATGTTCTGTGTCCTAGGCACTTTTTTCAGCATGAAGGATACATCAATAAACAATACAGACAAAAGTCCTACCTTTATGGTATCTCAGATCCTGGTGGTAAGAGACAAATAAAAGAGCTAACACATGAGAAAATAATGTATGATGTTAGAAGGTAAAATAAATAAATAAATAAAAGCTATGAAGAGGACAGAGCAGTGTAAGAGGATTTGGAGTGAGTGGAGGGGCTCGTGAATTACTCTCAGAATTGCGTATCCAGTAAGAAAGAGGGTCTGTCCTTTTATTATGAGGCAACTGCACTTTAGCTGAACCATAGCTTAAGTCTCAGTTCCTTCGAGAATGACATGAATTGAAATGCATGCTTGTCTATCTGACACGCTCTTCAGCATCCCTCCTCCTCCACCATCTGCCCAGGACCCACTGGTGGTTATCACAGAGGAGAGGGAAGAAGGCTTGTACTGGCCACAGGCCCCTCGAGACCTGCTGTGACTGGCAGTCGAGACACCTCCTGGCAGGTTGCTGTGCTGCTGCCTCTACGGAGAGATTCCTGAGTGCCAGTTCTTGGCTCTCATTGGCCCGCAGCTTGCAGCCCTTACCAAGAGGCCCTTGACTGCAGGTGTGTGTGGCCAGCATGGAGCCTGGGATTCCAGCCTGGTTCCGAGAATTCATTTAGCTTTGGTCATGTCTTCCTGTAGTAAGTCTTTGGTCTTTTGTCAGTCTTGCCTTTCACTGTGTGCCCTTGGGTTTGTTTATTGCTGAATTAGGTTTTATTCAACAAATGTTTGTGCTAGAGACGGACAGTAGAGGTGAAGACGAATAAGACACAGACCCTGCCTCTAGTGAGAGACAGATATGAAGACTGATAAAGTATAATAAATGAAAAATAGCAGGAGAGGAGCAAACACAGAGAGCACATAGGATGAAGCCATTACTTTTGCTGGAGACAGGAAACTCTAAGGCAGTGACATTTATCTTGAAACTTGAAGGGTTAGTGGGAGTAGCTGTGGGCAGACGGAAAATAGCATTTCTTGCGGGTGAAATAACATGGGTGAAGGTGGGAAATCACAAAAGGATGTTTGCTCCCAGCGTTCTCTTCTCTCCATGTGGTTTCTTATTAAGCGTTGGAGGAACATGGATAGTCCATGCAGGGAAGTATCTCACCAGCACAGAAACCAAATTTCTGGAAAAGCTCAGCTCTCTAAAAAGCAGTTCTCTGGACCAGCAGGTGGCATGTTGATTAAGGTGTTGGATTCCCACATGGCAGACCATAGTTCGAGCCCCAGACCCATCAAGTATGCCTAAATCTCAGGAGGAAATTGCAGAAGGGATTGCGGCATAGCCATCCCCCCTGGGGGTAGGGGGGTGATTTCTCACTTTCCCTTTCTCTGTTTCTGTCTTGTGTCTCTCAGGCAAGCACACATGCACTATGGCAAACAAACGAACAAGTGATTCTCAAACTTCAGTGTGCCTAAGAATCACATGTATGACTTGTGAAAATGTAGTTTGCTTGGCAGCAACTTCGGGGTTCCTGTTTCAGGAGGCTGTTATGGCCTGTAAATTTGCAGTTCTCACCAGCTCAAGGTGATGTCATTGCTACCAGTCCAGGGACCAAACTTAGAGAATAGTTGTGCTGCAATAATATTGGTATAATTCTAAAAATAAAAGCCTTTCAGATGAACGCAATAATATTCCCAAGGTACATCAGCTAAGGAGCCCACCCTTCATTCCATGGAAGAAGCCCTTCTGCCTCTGTTCGGATCAGTTCTGTTTTATGCATATGAAATTAGCTACGGAGATTCAGAATTCAACTGATCAAAAGAACATCATCATTTGAGAAACTGTTAGACGCAGCAGCTTTTACTTCTTACTAAAAAGAAGAGAAGAAACAGAATAATTATATTGTTAGGTATAACATCCAATGGTATGGACTCTGAATCAGTTCAGGGTCTGCACATATAGGACAGGACCCACCTGGATTACCTCTGAGGCCATCTCTATGGTCCGGCACATTGTGATGGTAGATATTTATAACAACAGCCACGTGCACCAAGAGCTATTTAATTTGCACACAGTTTATCCTACTTAAGAAGGCAGGGAGGCATATTAGTAAGAATGGTTTATGTCATATAATAGAAGGTGCACTTTTATAAATTGGAAGTATTGGTGCTTAAAGCTTCCGTGACAGATTCACTTGTTGAATAGCTTTTTCTACAGTGACTTAAAAGAAGGCATTACTATATTTGTGTATTTATTTAGACATCATTTACTTTACTTTGGCTATTTTAACACAAAGAAACCACATTTCCCATATTTGATAGTGATGAGTGAAAGGAGAAAATAAAAAATTAGAAGGCACTATAGCAATTTCTTCTGGAAACCCTGAACTATAGGTCCTAGGGGTTATTAGGTTACTGGTCATTTAGATCTTTTTATGTTTCTGATGTTCAGGGGAATCAAATCTGAGGGGCAAAATTTAAGAAAATTGAGATAATTCAAGAAAAAAATGGCATTGGGCTCTTATTCAAAGGGAGTGTAAATGATCCCTTTTCGTCCCTAGTCTTTCTGTTGGGATGTCAACACATATGACACTGCCTATAATTCAGGAAGTTAATGGCCTTCTGATTTATGATCTGATCTTTGCAAAGGATCATCGAGGAAGGGGAAAGCTTTGTTGCTTTCAGATCTACTAGCTATACTTTCTTGTGTTGATGTATATCCAGGGATTGTTCAAAGACACAGAGTTTCTTATTTCTTCTTTCTCTAGAAGAAAATTGTGGTAACAACTTAAAATCAATCAATTAGCGAGACTCAGATTAAAGTCAAGTAAAAGACAAGACATCCATCATTTAGACAATTACTTCCTTTTCTCCTTGGTCTTCTCCAGTGTTTGGGGTTGGGATGGGAAAAAGAGTAAAATGGAACTAGCACTTTCTGTGGAACTGCAAATGGTACCTGAGCACCATAGCATCTGAATGGCACCTGAACATCATAGCATCTGAAAGGTACCCAAGCATCATAACATCTAAAAGGTACACGAGCATCATAGCATCTGAATGGTACCTGAGCATCATAGCATCTGAAAGGTACCCAAGCATCATGGCATCTGAAAGGTACCTGCGCATTATAGTATCTGAATGGTATCTGAGCATTGTAGGATCTGAATGGCATCTGAGCATCATAGCATCTGAATAGCACCTGAACATCATAATATCTGAATGGTACCTGAGCTCTGATTATTCCCTGAGCATCACAGTGGCTCTGGTGTACTTTTCTAAGGACAAATCCCTGACAGGTGCAGAGGTTTCCTTAAGGAGCTTGGATATCAAATGAAAATATGCTAAAGGAGATGTTTCTTAGATACATAGTTAATCTTTTCTTATGTAGAGAAAAAAGGTTCCTCTGGCAGGATATGCCAGGTAGAGTGATTTTGCTGGTGCTTAAGGTGGAATCTTTGCTATTAGATTGCTCCTTGCCCCAAGACATGTTCACTGAGATTCCTATCAAAACAATCACCAATTCTGTGCTATATAAAATGAAAACATTCTGTGTGCTTTTGTATATATTATCTCATTCAATTTCCTACAGAAACAGCAGGGCAGGTATGCCCATTTGTGGATGAAAAATAATCAGTGGAGGATTGAGATCTGTCCCCAGATCTCTTAGTTCCTGGTCTTGTGCTTCTCCTATGCTCCCAGCTTTATCCTTAAGCATATTTTTCTTCTTGTGAAAATCATGTCTTATTTTCTTGTTCAGTCTACTAAGCAGGA